TCACTCAGGCTGTCACAGGCCCAGGGCCAGACTGCTGAGTTTGAGTCTGTGTGGCCCTGAGCCAATTGCTTTCTCCTCTGAGCCTCAGTTCCATCTCAGTAAAATCAGAATGATAGCCTGGGCAACATAGCAAGACCCCACCGCTACCAAATAAATAAATAAATAGCCGGGCGCGGTGGCTCAAGCCTGTAATCCCAGCACTTGGGGAGGCCGAGGCGGGTGGATCACGAGGTCAAGAGATCGAGACCAACCTGGTCAACATGGTGAAACCCTGTCTCTACTAAAAATACAAAAAAAAATTAGCTGGGCATGGTGGTGCGTGCCTGTAATCCCAGCTACTCAGGAGGCTGAGGCAGGAGAATTGCCTGAACCCAGGAGACGGAGGTTGTGGTGAGCCGAGATCGCGCCATTGCACTCCAGCCTGGGTAACAAGAGCGAAACTCAGTCTCAAAAAAATAAATAAATAAAATAAATAAATAAATAAATAAATAAATAAATAAAAGATTCACTGAGGCCAGGCACGTTGGCTCACGCCTGTAATCCCAGCACTTTGGGAGGCTGAGGCGAATGGAACACCTGAAGTCAGGAGTTCGAGACCAGCTGGCCAACATGATGAAACCCCGTCTCTACTAATAACACAAAAATTAGCCAGACATGGTGGCAGGTGCCTGTAATCCCAGCTACTCAGGAGGCTGATGCCAGAGAATTGCAGGAACCCTGGAGGCAAAGGTTGCAGTGAGCTGAAATTGCGCCATTGCACTCCAGCCTGGGTGACAAAAGCGAAACTCCATCCCCCTCAAAAAAAAGATTAGCTGAGTGTGGTGGCTGACCAGCCTTTAGTCTTAGCTACTCAGGAGGCCAAGGCTGAAGAATTGCTTGAGGCCAGCTTGGGCAACATAGCATATCTCTACAAAAAAATGTAAAAAATTAGCTGGTTGTGGTGGTGCATGCCTGTAGTTCTAGCTTCTCTGGACACTGAGGCAGGAGGATCCCTTGAGCCCAGGAGTTCGAGGCTACAGTGAGCTACATTGGCACCATTGCACTCCAGCCCAGTAACAGAGTGAGGCCCTGTCTATTGAAGAATATATATCTGGGCCGGGCACGGTGGCTTATGCCTGTAATCCCAGCACTTGGGGAGGCTGAGGCGGGTGAATCACAAGGTCAGCAGTTCAAGACCATCCTGACCAACATGGTGAAACCCCGTCTCTACTAAACATACAAATATTAGCTGTGCATGGTGGTGTATACCTGTAATCCCAGCTACTCAGGAGGCTGAGGCAGGAGAATTGCCTGAACCTGAGAGTCAGAGGTTGTAATGAGCCTAGACCATGCCACTGCACTCCATCCTGGGCAACAGAGCGAGACTCCATCTCAATTAAGAAAAAAAAAAGAAAAGACCCCCTTTAATTCCACCCTGGGCTGCTAGAAAACCACCCACTATCAGGTAGCCAGGAACGACCTTTGGAGAACACACACAGCACCCTCCAGGTACCATCCACTTGTTTACCATTCTTCTGCCTGGGGACTCAGTGGGAAGGCGGTCCTATACCCAGGAGCCCACATCCCCCCAGCAAATGTTTATTTTATTTTTATTTATTTATTTATTTTGAGACAGAGTCTTGCTCTGTTGCTCAGGGGGGACTGCAGTGGGGTGATCTCAGCTCACTGCAACCTCCGCCTCCTGGGTTCAAGCACTTCTCCAGCCTCAGCATCCTGAATAGTTGGGAATACAGGCATGCACCACCATACCTGGCTAATTTTTGTATTTTTAGTAGACATGGGTTTTCACAACGTTGGCCAGGCTGGTCTCAAACCCTTGACCTCAGGTGATCTGCCCACCTTGGCCTCCCAAAGTGCTGTGATTACAGGCGTGAGCCACCACACTGGGCTTTTGTGGTCATGGAATGGTTTTGTGTGATGTTGGTGTCCTGGAAATTACTTATGTTTGACAAGAGAACACCAAGACCCAGCTGTAACTGCCTGGCCAGCTCTCAGTGAAACAAAACAGGAATGGGACAGAGCTTCTCCTTCACATACTTTCTCTTTTTCCTTCTCTTGTCCCACTGGTCACAAAACCCACAGCATTACCTCGCCGATGACATATCTGCTAACCCCAAGGCTGTAGTCATACAAATAGCCATTCTTCTATGCTCTCGTAACATTTAATCAGGCCTCTTATTTGAAGAATTCCAGAGAGGCCTTAGGAGAGATCCAAATATCGAATGAAGCTTGCAGTGTACCACCTTGGGAAGGAATGTGGAACAACTGATTGATTGCCTTGTTGCCACCGGCCACACCACCAGGTGACTCAAGATAACCATCGCAACCAGATATGGGACCCGCAAACCCTCACCTGCTTTGCCCAGCCCAGCCTGCGTAACCTATACCTGATGTCAATTCCCATGCTTTGCCTCATAAAAAAATTTCCGCTGCTCTTTCCACACGTCAGCTGGAGGATGCCTTCAATTCTGCTTCCGTTGTCCCCCTGCACTCAAGCACAAGCTCTGAAATCAACACCTTGTCTGGGAAATCTGCTTGGACCCCTGTTAAGCTTCATTACAAGGGGAGCCAAACAGCCTGTAGTCTGTAACATCAGATGTGAGCAACAGCTTTTCTTTCTCTTGCTCTCTCTTTTTTTTTTTTTTTTTTTTTTTTTTGAGTCTTGCTCTGTTGCCCAGGCTGGAGTGCAGTGGCACAATCTCAGCTCACTGCAACCTCCATCTCCTAGTTTCAAGTGATTCTCCTGCCTCAGCCTCCCAAGTAGCTGGGATTATAGGCGTGCACCACTATGCCCAACTAATTTTTGTATTTTTAGTAAAGACAGGGTTTCACCATGTTGGCCAGACTGGTCTCGAACTCCTGACCTCGAGTGATCCACCCATAAGCCATAAGCCACCATGCCAGAGTTTTCTCTTTCTCAAAGTCAGCTAAACAAAAAATCAGGCTTTTAAAAAATTAAAGTTAGTTTTAAAAAATCTTACTAGGACTGTAACCAGGGAAAGTCTTTCACAGTTTGTTAAACTGCTTCAAAACAGTTTCAGCACACATTTATATTTATATACAGTTTATATAAAAACATTTATATACAGTTGGTGGTCCCCTGCATGTGCTCAGAAGTTATATCAGGCGAGGCACGGTGGCTCATGCCTATAATCCCAGCACTTTGGGAGGCTGAGTCAGGGGGCAGATCACCTAAGGTCAGGAGTTAGAGACCAGCCTGGTCAACATGGTGAAATCTAGTCTCTACTATAAATACAAAAATTAGCCAGGCATGGAGGCCTGCCTGTAATCCCAGCTACTTGAAGGCTGAAGCAGGAGGATTGCTTGAACCCAGGAGGTGGAGGCTAAGTGAACCTAAATTGAACCACCGCACTCTATCCTGGGGGACAGAGTGAGACTCTGTCTCAGAAAAAATAAAAGTTATTATCAAATGTGCTCACGAGTTACAATAGAGCAAAATTTCATCAAGGCTTGGGTGTGAGGGTACAGCTAGTTATAGATTATAGAGGACTTGACTGGGTACGGTGACTCACGCCTATAATCTCCGTCAGCACTTTGGGAGGCCCAGGCGGGAGGATTGCTTGAGCCACCTTGTTTCTACAAAAACTAAAAATAAAAAAATTAACTGGGTGTGGTGGCATGCACCTGTAGTCTCAGCTACTCAGGAGGCTCAGGTGGGAGGATTGCCTGAATCCAGGAGTTCAATACTGCCGTGAACTATGATCACGTCCCTACACTCCAGCCTGGGCAACCAAGTGAGACCCTGTCTCTTTAAAAAAAAAAAAAATTATAGAGGCATAATCATTAATCCTGCCAGAGACTATGTACAGGAAGAGGCAAGGTCATTATTGAGCTTGTCTTTTTTATTTTTTTGAGGCAGTCTCGTTCTGTCGCCCAGGCTGGAGTGCAGTGTCGCAATCTGGTCTCACCGCAGCCTCCACCTCTCAGGTTCAAGGGATTCTCTTGCCTCAGGCACCCCAGTATCTGGGATTACAGGCACACACCACCACCACCGGCTAATTTTTGTATTTGTATTTATTTATTTAGAAATGAGGTTTCACCATGTTAGCCAGGCTGGTCTCGAACTCCTGACCTCAGGTGATTCACCCACCGCAGCCTCCCAAAGTGCTGGGATTACAAGCGTGAGCCACCATGCCCGGCTAAGTTTTGTATTTTTAATGGAGATGAGGTTTCACCGTGTTGGTCACGCTGGTCTCAAACTCCTGACACCTCGTGATCCGCCCGCCTTGGCCTCCCAAAGTGCTAAAAGTGCTAGGATTATAGGCGTGAGCCACTACGCCGGGCCTGAGCTTGTGTTTTCTAAAAATGCAGTGATTAAGGCAAGAGAGGTAGGAACCTGTGTTCTCTCTCCTGCTTGTTCAGGATGTTACCGGAGAGGACTGTGCTCAGTCACTGAGTCAAGGCCTTTGTGAAATCCTGCTCGCAAGCAGAATGAGCAGACAAGGTTCCTTAGGTTTGCTACTTTGTCTCACTACCAAGGCTCATTCATTGGCAGCGGTGTATTTGCAGAGGGCCAGGTATAGAGTAATTGGAGGAGGACAAAGGAGGCAGGCTCAGTCTTCAGGGAGCTCATGACAAGTTTGCGCTGTCTTATGTAAACCGGAGATTGTCAGAAATGGAGGAGGGGGGACCAGACCCAAGGAAGGGCCAGGACAAAGCCCGGAGGCGAGGAGAGCCAAGGGGGAGGAAGTGCCGAGAGCATCAGCAGGACTGCGCGGTGGCACAGAGACGCCCGTGGGGACTGGAGAGGCCGGCTGGGGCCAGGCTACTCAGGCACGGAGGGCCACCTCCCCTCCAGGGACGTGAGCGTCTAGCTGCACTCATTTGTTGTTCAGGAACAGGAAATGAAAACCCTCAGCTTTGATCACAATAACCCACGCCGGCCTCGGGTTCATGAATATTCAGCAGGCTGCTTCCGGCTTGCAACCCCGCCTCCGTCCTGTCTCTGTGGAGATTGCGCATGCGTTGCCGGCGCGCGGCTCTGTCGTCATACTTGCGCGCCGCCGCCGCAGCTCGCTGGGAAAACAGGACGAGTGTCATGGCGAGCTCAGCTGCCTCCTCGGTGCGACCGCCGAGACCCAAGAAAGAGCCGCAGACGCTCGTCATCCCCAAGAATGCGGCGGAAGAGCAGAAGCTCAAGCTGGAGCGGCTCATGAAGAACCCGGTGAGACAAGGCCCGGGCTCCGAGGCCCACCCCCTTCCTCTGTGGCGCCTCTAGTTTCCCGTGGGTCCATCTTCCCCGCCTCCAAATTCAGAAACTCAGTATCTGACCCTCCCCGAGCAGTCTTTGGCGGGAGAAGGCTGTCGTAGAGATAGTGAACTTCTTGTTTGTCCTTGTGTGAGGGCCCAGCTTGAATGAAAGCACGGTGGAGCGGCTTCCCGTGCTCTAAGACCCCTTCTAGTTTAGCTTTCTGGATATTCTAAACAACACTGATCGTTAGAGAGACAGTGGCCGAGACGTTTGGAGCGAGTCACTCCTCTCCAGCCCACACTCCCTCCGGGTCTCGGTCTCCTGGGTCATAAAAACAGTTGAACGAGAACGTCCTTTATATCTTTTTTTTTTTTTTTTTGTTAAATACAGACGTGGTTTCACTATGTTGGTCAGGCTGATCTTGAACTCCTGACTTCGGGTGATCTGCCCGCCTCGGCCTCCCATAGTGCTGGGATTACAGGCGTGAGCCACCGCGTCCGGCCGTCCTTTATATCTTTAACTGGAAAAGCTCGACTCTTCTCCCCTAGTAGTGTTATTAAAGGTGGCGGTTTCTAGCTGGAAACTATGGCTTAGGTTTCTCAGTTCTGCTCCGGTAAGTGTAGTCCTGGGAAGGTGTGGACTGTGTTATGCCCAAGAGTACATAGGATGAAAAAAGCCACGGCAGACGGAAGAACACAAAATCAGCTCTGTGCCCAAGTAGCAAAGCAGTCCTGCTTCATTAGTCCAATTAAAATTCTTTGGTCATAAGAGGTGTAATTTGGGCTGGGTGCTGTGGCCCCTGCCTGTAATCTCGGTGCTTTGGGAGGCCCGGTGGGAGGATGGCCTGAGGCCAGGAAGGAGTTCAAGACCAGCCTGGGCAACATAGTGGGTCCCTGTCTGTACAAAAACTAAAAAGTTGCCTGGCATGGTGGCATTCACCAGTAGTCCTAGCTACCCTGGAGACTGAAGCAGGAGGATCACTTGAGCCCGGGAGTTCAAGGCTGCAGTGAACTATGATCACACCACTGCACTCCAGCCTGAGGGACAGACCAAGAACCCATCTCTTAAAAAGAGACAGAGAGGCCAGGCATGGTGGCTCATGCCTGTAATCCAAGCACTTTGGAGGCCAAGGCGGGCGGATCACCTGAGGTCGGGAGTTCAAGACCAGCCTGACCAACATGGTGAAATCCCATCTTTAAAAAAAATAAATGAATAAAAATAAAATTAAATTTTAAAAAAAGAGACAGAGAGATGTAATTTTGTCAGCAAGTTTATATTTAGAAATGCTTTCATGTTTAAATGTTGCAGGACAAAGCAGTTCCAATTCCAGAGAAAATGAGTGAATGGGCACCTCGACCTCCCCCAGAATTTGTCCGAGATGTAATGGGTAATGTCTTTGTGTCTGTGTGTGTGTAAATAGAATTTTTTAAGGTAGATATAAAAACCCTGTAGTTAGTATTTGTTAAATCTCTGAGGAGGGGAACTACTCACTTGTTCAGTGTTTTGCTTTTACAATGATGGGGATATAGTTGCTTTTATTTATTTGTTTATTTGACATCAGTAATTTAGCTTAAGGATTATAGTTGCTTATGGTTTGGCACTGGAGAATTTTCTCCTGCCTTATTGCACTTTTTAAAAAATTTTTATTTTTTGAGGCAGTCTCACTCTGTCACCCAGGCTGGAGTGGAGTGACACTATCTCTGCTCACTGCAACCTCTGCCTCCCAGGTTCAGGCTATTCTTCTGCCCCAGCCTCCTGAGTAGCTGGGGCAGAATTGCCTGAGCCCGGGAGGCCAAGGCCAAGGCCTTGCAGTCCTCCTACCTCAGTCTCCCAAGTAGCTGGGACCACAGGCGTACACCCCTATACCTGGCTAATTTTTTTGTTTTTTTTTTTTGATGTTTTTTCACCATGTTGACCAGGATGGTCTCGATCTCTTGACCTCGTGATCCACCCGCCTCGGCCTCCCAAAGTGCTGGGATTACAGGCTTGAGCCACCGCGCCCGGCCCAAATTTTTTTATTTTTAGTGGACACTGGGTTTTGCTATATTGACCAGGCTGATCTTGAACTTCTTACCTCAGGTAATCCACCTGCTTCAGCCTCCCAAAGTGCTAGGGTTACAGCTGTGAGCAACCGTGCCCGGCCGTCTTCTGCATTATTCTTAATAATGCATTGTGGTTTTTTTTGTAAATAGAAATCATTTTATTATTTTGTTGGATCATAAATATCTACAGTCATACCATGGAGACAGTGCAGGTTTAGTTCCAGGCCACCTGGTTAAAGTGAGTGTCGCAGTAAAGGGAATCATACAAATTCTTTGGTTTCCCAGTGCATATACAAGTTTTGTTTATACTCTACTGTAGTTTGTTTAATGTACAGTAGCATTATGTCTTTAAAAAGCAACGTAGGCTGGGCGCGGTGGCTCATGCCTGTAATCCCAGCACTGTAGGAGACCAAGGCAGGAGAATCGCTTGAGTTCAAGACCAGCCTGGGCAACATAGCAAGACCTCATGTCTACTAAAAATTTAAAAATTAGCCAGGCATAGTGGTGCACGCCTGTGGTCCCAGCTACTTGGAATCCTGACTGAGGTGGGGGGATTGCTTGAGCCCAGGAGGCCAAGGCTGCAATGAGCTGTAATGCCTGCCATTGCACGCCAGCTTGGGTGACAGAGCAAGACCCTGTCTCAAAAAAAAAAAAAAGCTTGGCCGCGCACGGTGGCTCACACCTGTCATCCCAGCACTTTGGGAGGCCGAGGTGGGCGAATCACGAGGTCAGGAGTTCAAGACCAGCCTGACCAACATGGTGAAACCCCATCTCTACTAAAAATAGAAAAATTAGCTGGGCATGGTGGCGCACACCTGTAATTCCAGCTACTCAGGAGGCTGAGGCAGGAGAACTGCCTGAACCTGGGAGGTGGAGGTTGCAACTTCGTCTCAAAAAAAAAAAAAAAAAAAAGCTTAAGAAAAAACACTTAAAAATACGGTTGTTCTAAATATATTCTTTTCTAAGCCCCTTTTTTTTCATTTAATATATCATGAACATCTTTTCAGCTCTCTAGAAATCTAGCATGTCAAATGTGAAGTCATGGAGGAGGTGAGAAAGTCACTTAACCACAGCCTCCTGATACTGTATTTGAGTGGGATTTTTAGTGACTTCACATCCAACATTCATATAACAAATAATGAATGAAATCCATAATATGCAAGGTACTGGGCCAGTTCTGGATGCAGTGGGGAGAAAGGAAGGCATGGTCCTGTCCACGACTTCCACTTTCTGTTTCTTTAGTCCCCTTTGATTAAGGGTGGCCTGTATTGGTATTTAATCTAGAACTTTGGACTGTTCTGGCTACAGGTTCAAGTGCTGGGGCCGGCAGTGGAGAATTCCACGTGTACAGACATCTGCGCCGGAGAGAATACCAGCGACAGGACTACATGGATGCCATGGCCGAGAAGGTCAGTGAGCCAGGAGGCTGGCTGAGCTGCCATGTTTGGGCAGTGTGCATGTACTACCTTAAGAAAAAAGCATTTGGGGAAGCCAGGCGCAGGGCTGATGCCTGTAATCCCAGCACTTTGGAAGGCCAAGGCGGGCAGATCACCTGAGATCAGGAGGTGGAGACCATCCTGACCAACATGGAGAAAACCCGAATATTCTAAAAATGCAAAATTATCGGGGCGTGGTGGTACGTGCCTGTAATTCCAGCTACTTGGGAGGCTGAGGCAGGAGACTCACTTGAACCCGGGAGGCGGAGATTGCGGTGAGCCGAGATCGCACCATTTCCCTCCAGCCTGGGCAGCAAGAGCGAAACTTCATCTTGAAAAAAAGAAAAAGAAAGAAAAGAAAAAGCAAATGAGGAAGAATAGATGCAGCTGGTGTGGCTAGTGTGCAGTGTGCAGCACAGAACACAGAGTCCAGGTAACCCCCCGATCAGAATCAGAACAGCAGGATACCCACACCAGGAGAGGGATGGGAGCGAGAGTCTTCCTTGTGTATGGAAGGGCACGGCCGAGGCCTCTCTTCTCTCTAGGCCATTTGCCATGCGATAGAACAGCAAGTGGGATCCCCACACCATTTAAATTGTTATTTCTCTGTCGTTCTCCCACTTTTTAGCTGAATGCCTAGATGCAGTTAGCTGTGCATTTGGTGTGAACGGCAGCGTGCTTTCCCTACTGCGAAAGTACATATGGTATCTGCCTCTTGGAGCATTTGATTTTCCTAACTCTGGAGCTGGCATTTCTTTGTGACAGGCGTCAAATAATAGATTATTGTAAGATTATTATTAATCTGTAATAATTATAGGTTATTTGAGAATTGCTTAAGAAACCATATTTTGGGAGAGGCATTGTTTCTTCAGACAGGGTCTTGCTCTGTCACCCAGGCTGGAGTGCAGTGGCACAACTTGGTTTCCTCCACCTCCCAGGCTCAAGCAGTTCTCATGCCTTGGCCTCCCAAGGAGCTGGGATTACAGGTGTGTGTCACCATGCACAGTAAATTTTTGTATTTTTAGTAGAGATGGGATTTTGCCGTGTTGGCCAGGCTGGTCTCAAACTCCTGATCTCAAGTGATTCTCCTGCCTTGGCCTCCCAAATTACTGGGATTAGAGGTGTGAGCCACCGCACCCATCCTGCCTGTCTTTCTGTTAATATAAATCAAAGCTGGGTGTGATGGTGTGCGAGGTGCCACCTGGGTGGTTCTTGTCTCTTTTGTCTTTTTTTACTTTTTCTTTTGAGACAGAGTTTTGCTCTTGTTGCCCAGGCTGAAATGCAGTGGCACAATCTCGACTCACTGCAGCCTCTGCCTCACTGGTTCAAGTGATTCTCCTGCCTCAGCCTCCCAAGTAGCTGGGATTACAGGTGAGCGCCACCATGCCTGGCTAATTTTGTGTTTTTAATAGAGACGGGGTTTCTACATGTTGGTCAGGCTGGTCTTGAACTCCCGACTCAGCTGATCCGCTCGCCTCAGCCTCCCAGAGTGCTGAGATTACAGGCGTGAGCCACTGCACCTGGCTGGTCTGTCCTTTTTTAAGTGGAGAGCAAAAGTGCCTCCAGAAACGCCCACAGGACAAGTGCCTCTCGTCCCTGCTACGCCCCAAGATTTCAAGTCCAACCTGGACAACAGAGTGAGACATCAAATGTTATTTGGCTGGTTCCTTTTGATTTTCTAAATGTACATCTGACTTTTCCTAATGAGGGTGTGGGATTGTTCCCTGTTACTAATCTTAGAAGAACATGCACCGCAAAAAAGTCCCTTTCCTCAGTATGGGCAAGGTGCTTTTTTTTTTTTTTTTTTTTTTTTTTTTTGAGACAGTCTTGCTTCGTTGCCAGGTGCCAGGCTGGAGTGCAGTGGCGTGATCTTGGTTCACTGCAACCTCTGCCTCCAGGGTTCAAGCAATTCTGCTACTCCCGAGTAGCTGGGACTACAGGCATACGCCACCACGCCCAGCTAATTTTTGTATTTTTAGTAGAGACAGGGTTTCACCATGTTGGCCAGGATGCTGTCAATCTTTTGACCTCGTGATCTGCCCGCCTCAGTGTCCCAAAGTGCTGGGATTACAGGTGTGAGCCACCATGCCCAGCCAGGGTGCCTATATTTCATAGAGTACATTTGTGCACATTAGAGAGGTTCGGATGCCTTTTTTTTGAGATGGAGTTTCGCTTCTGTCGTCCAGGCTGGAGTGCAGTGATGCACTCTCGGCTCACCGTAACCTCCACCTGCTGGGTTCGAGTGATTCTCCTGCCTCAAGCCTCCCGAGTAGCTGGGATTACAGGCGCGTGCCACCACGCCTGGCTAATTTTTGTAGTTTTAGTGGAAATGGGGTTGTACCACATTGGTCAGGTTGGTCTGGAACTCCTGACCTCAGGTAATCCACCTGCCTCAGCCTCCCAAAGTGCTGGGATTACAGGCGTGAGTAACTGCGCCCAGCCTAAATGCTTTAAAATGACATTTGTTCATCTCCTTTTTATCAGAGAGGAAGCCACTTTATTAGGATTTTGCCTTCCAATAATGTAGTAAAATAAATTAGACTCTAGAGAATTTCTACCTAGAGGAAATAAAATGATTTTAAAAATGAAACCAAGCAATAATTATAAAATATTGTAATATGGCCAGGTGCAGTGGCTCACGCCTGTAATCCTAGCACTTTGGGAGGCTGAGGCAGGTGGATCACCTGAAGTCAGGAGTTCAAGACCAGCCTGACCAACATGGTGAAACCCTGTCTCTAAAAAATAAATAAAATAAAATAAAATAAAATGTAATATTTAGCAATAAAAAAGGAACAAACTATTGATCTGTACAACAACTGGGATGGTTGTTTAAAACATACTGTGTGAAAGAAGCCTTGCACAAGAGAGACCATATTGTGTGATTCCGTTTATATGACGTTTTAGAGGAGGTAAAATTAATCTGAGAAATAAAACTGGTTGTCTGGTTGGGGTCATGGTTGACTGGGAAAAGACAGGTGAGGGGACTTTCTGGGGTGATCGAACTGTACACTCAAGATCTGGGCATTTGGTTCTGTGTAGATATTACTTTATTTATTTTTTTGAGATGGAGTTTCACTCTTGTTGCCCAGGCTGGAGTGCAATGGCACAATCTCGGCTCACTGCAACCTCTGCCTCCCAGGTTCAAGTGATTCTCCTGTTTCAGCTTCCTGAGTAGCTGGGATTACAGACGCCTACCACTACGCCCAGCTAATTTTTTTGTATTTTTAATAGAGACAGGGTTTCAGTATGTTGGCCAGGCTGGTATTGAACTCCTAAAGTGATCCACCTGCCTCAGCCTCCCAAAGTGCTAGGATTATGGGTGTGAGCCGCTGTGCCTGGCCAGATATTACTTTAAAAGGAAAAAGAAAAGCGTGCGGAAATATGAAAGCCTGTTTAATGATAGGCATGCTTAAATGCTCAAGAATGGAATGTCCTGATGTCTGTAGCTTACTTTGAAATGCACCAAAAAAAAAAGAAAAAAAGACGAATTGGTAGATGAATAGAGCTCTGGGAAGGAGGAGTTATAATTTTCCCCATTTTATAGGTAAGTAAATTGAGGCTTGGAGATGGAAGACATATACCAATAGAGGTGTGGATAGATCAATAGGTGTGTAATTAAGAAAATCTAGCAGAACAGGAATTGTTGAGTCAAGTGTAGTGGGTATATGTGCTATGTAATTCTTTTAACTTTTCTGTTTGAAATTTTCAAAATAAAACGTTAGGGAAAATTTAAACCAGAGACAGGATACAGAAGAAAATATGTAAGAATTTATTGGAATGGCCAAAATTGAGTTAGAAAAAAAATCTGCTTTTGAGGGCCAGGTGTGGTGGCTCACGCCTGTAATCCCAGCACTTTGGGAGGCCAAGGCGGTGGATCACTTGAGGGCAGGAGTTCAAGACCAGCGTGGCCAATGTGGTGAAACCCCCACCTCTACTAAAAATACCAACATTAACTAGGCGTGGTGGCGTACACCTGTAATCCCACCTACTCGGGGGGCTGAGTCAGGAGAATCGCTTGAACTCAGGAGGTGGAGGTTGCAGTGAGCTGAGATAGTGCCACTGCACTCCAGCCTGGACAACGGAGTGAGACGCCATCTCAAAAAGAAAAAGGAAAAATCCTGCTTTGGGCACAGCATGGTCATTGGTGTGCTGGCTGTCATCTGATACTTGCTTGTCCTGCAGCTTTTTCTGGCCCCTGGGTATTGGTGTTTCTTCTTGTTCCTGCCTTCTTTTGTTAACAATCTCAATCCTAGTGAGATGTATTAGACAGTTTGTCACAAAACTATACCAGGTTACTGCAGTGGGTTTGCCTGTCAAGAATAATGCTCTGGTGTGGAAACCATCAAGCTGGGTGCGGTGGCTCATGCCTGTAATCCCAGCACTTTGGGAGGCCAAGGTGGTGGGATCGCTTGAGCCCAGGAAACATGGCAAGACCCCATCTCTACAAAGAGTACAAAGTTTAGCCAGATGTGGTGGCACCCACCTGCAGCCTATTCGAGAGGCTGAGGTGGAAGGATTGCTTGAGCCTGGACTGTCAAGGCTGCAGTGAGCCGTGATCATGTCACTGGACTCGCGCCTGAGTGAACAAGACCCTGTCTCAAAAAAAAAAAGAAAAAAGAAACTGCTATCAGGAACATTTTTATTTTTATAAACTATTTTAGAGGGGAGGACATTAGACCAGGTTGCTGTCTCAGACACTGTAAGTTAGTCTGAAGTTTTACATATTGATTATAGATTCAGAGAAAATACAGAAAAATGTTTCAGAAACCTTGGCCTTCATGCAAATGCAAAGACCTTTATTTTGGATGGCAAACGACAGTCTCAGATTTAAAAAATGGGCGGGGGAAGAGGCCTCATTTTTTAGTAACTGACAGATCACCTCCATCGGAACCCAGTTCCACTCACCCCCGCTTGAGACATTGCCTCTGCCAGGTGCGGCAGCCAGCTGGGGCTCCGTTTAGTTCACTTGCTGGGAAATTTGGCTTCTTCAGCAGCACAGAGTAAGACTTTCACAACTCAGCTTCTTTTTTTTTTTTTTTTTTATTATTATTCCGGCAGAGTCTCCCTTTGTCACCTCAGCTGGAGTTTGATCTTGGCTCACTGTAGCCTCTGCCTCCTGGGTTAAAATAATTCTCATGCCTTAGCCTCAGCCTCCTGAGCAGTTGCGATCACAGGCGCCTGCCACCATGCCTGGCCAATTTTTGTATTTTTAGTAGAGTTGGGGTTTCACCATGTTGCCCAGGCTGGTCTTGAACTCCGGACCTCAGGTGATCTACCCGCTTCAGCCTCCCAATGTGCTGGATTGCAGGCATAAGCGACGGCACCCAGCCTTCACACCTCAGTGTCTAAGCAAACCAAGTTCTTTTAGATTTAAGTCATTTGCTTTCTGGTTGTTCAGAAGGTTGATTACTTAAAGTCGATTTCCTTCCTGAAGGAATGTTTTCTGCCCTCAGAGAGGGGCTTGTTTTGTTTGGTTCTGTGCCACTCTAAGCAGATGTGCACAGCCCTGGTGGTGCAGACCAGCAGAGGTGTTGAAGGTACCTCTTCCTCCTTTGCTGGCTCCTTTGTTGCTCCATTGACCTTTATGGCTGTGACCAGAAGAAACAAGAGATGGCACTTTGAATCATTTGATGTCTTTGTAGCTTACAGGTGCTTTTCTGTGGGTTGTCTTATTTCATTGTCCTTTTTTTTCCCCTTTTGAGACATGGTCTTCCTCGGTCGCCAGACTGGAGCGCAGTGGCGCGATTTCCACTCACTACAACCTCTTCCTTCTGCATTCAAGCAATTCTCCTCCCTCAGCCTCCCGAGTATTGGTCTCCCAAAGTACTGGGATTTATAAGCATGAGCCACCACGCCCAACCCTTATTTCATTATTCTTCCTAACAGCTCTGGGAGAGAGGAATTATAATTTTCCCCATTTTATAGATGAGGAAACTGAGGCTTGGAAACAGAACTGCTGAGAAGAAGTAATGCAGTCGATAGGATATACGTGTGGGTGCAGGTGTGTGTTTAGCAGCAGATGGCATGTGTCACGCTGCTTTAGAATCTGTCATTTGGTGGCTGGGCACAGTGGCGTGTAATCTCAGCACTTTGGAGGCTAAGGTAGAAGGATCCTTTGAGGCCAGGAGTTTAAAACCAGCCTGGGCAACATAGCCAGACTTGTCTCTACAAAATAAACATAAAAATTAGCCAGATGTAATGTCATGCACCCATAGTCCCAAGTACTCAGGAGACTGAGATAGGAGGATCTATTGAGCCCAGGAGTTCAAGGTTTTAGTGAGCTATTATTATGCCATTGCATTCCAGCCTAGGTGACAGAATAAGACCTTGTATCACAAACAAAAACAAAAACAAAAAAAACTCAGCCATTTGGGAACTATGAGGTTAGAGCTTGAAAATTCCATGGTTCTGACCCTCCAGGCATTCCTTCTGATGAGCTCTGGGCCATGTCTGAGGCCCCAGCTAAGCAGACGGTGCTGCCCCTGCCCCTAAGGTGTCCTCTGCACTCCCTCCCGTACTGTCTCCTGGATTGTGTGTGCACGCGGGGTACCTCAATCAACTGAAAGAGTTACTTTGCCATCAGAGAGTTATGTTTTGATTACCTGCCCTGCCTCTGGGGTAGCCTTTTTTTTTTTTTGAGATGGAGTTTCGCTCTTGTTACCCAGGCTGGAGTGCAATGGCGCGATCTCAGCTCACCGCAACCTCCGCCTCCTGGGTTCAGGCAATTCTCCTGCCTCAGCCTCCTGAGTAGCTGGGATTACAGGCACGCGCCACCATGCCCAGCTAATTTTTTGTATTTTTAGTAGAGACGGGGTTTCACCATGTTGACCAGGATGGTCTCGATCTCTTGACCTCGTGATCCACCCGCCTCGGCCTCCCAAAGTGCTGGGATTACAGGCTTGAGCCACCGCGCCCGGCCTGGGGTAGCCTTTTAAAGTTAAAATGGCCCTGGAGACCCGGGTAGTGCCTCTAGCACCCCCAGTGGCATGACTGCTAGAACCCTCCTACTCAGCCTGAGCAAAAACCTCCCACAGTCTACCCAGACCTATCGTGTCTAAATGATGTGGGTTTTGTTGCAGCAAAAATTGGATGCAGAGTTTCAGAAGAGACTGGAAAAGAATAAAATCGCTGCAGAGGAGCAGACTGCAAAGCGCCGGAAGAAGCGGTAAGAGGCCTGGCCTAACTGTGATGACACTTAAGGGCCGGGGGTGGGAACAGGGCTGGGTGAGCTGAGTCCTTGCAGTCAATAGTAGTTCCCCTGCGTGACCGGTAGGGGTCATGAGTGTAGAGCAGTGCCTTCTACAACCTGAACAGAGCAAGTTCCTTAGCACCCTCCAGCTGGTTACAGATTGTCCAGAGCTTGCAAGTCAGGACTTTAGTGATCGCATTGATTTCTGTGTCTCCTTCATGTCTGTTTTTTTTTTATTTTTATTTTTTATTTTTTGAAACAAAGTCTCACTGTGTCCCCCAGGCTGCATGCAGTACCACAATCTCAGCTCACTGCAACCTCCGCCTCCTGGATTCAAGCGATTCTCCTACCTCAGCCTCCTGAGTAGCTGAGATTACAGGTGTCCGCCACCATGCCCGGCTAATTTTTGTATTTTTGATATAGACAGGATTTCACTATGTTTCCCAGGCTGGTCTCAAAACCCCCAACCTCAGGTGATCCACCTGTCTCGGCCTCCCACAGTGCTGGGATTATAGGCATGAGCCACCACACCTGGCCTAAAAAATGTATTTTTTTAAAAGCATCCTCTTTATTTCTGAGGTTACTTTGCCTCAGGGCTCCCTGGGATTTGCTCTTGAATCCTAATAGAAGCAGCTGAGAAGGATAGACTGGCAGGGTCGTGTGGAAGTATTTGATTGGTGCAAAAGTAACTCACTTTTGGACCATGAATTTAAAATCATTATGACTAGGCTCAAACACATATTTATTCATCAAAATAGGAAGTATTACAATCAACATATTTTTGCCAGCGAGACATCAGTTGGTTTATTCTTGTAATGTAAAAATCCATGCTTTGGGATTTGATGAACTCTCAGAAAGCGTTTTCTGAGTCCTTCTCGCTGTGGAAGGGCTTTCCCTGCAAAAAGTGGTCAAGGTGCTTGAAGAAGTGGTAATCGGTTGGCAAGAAGTCAGGTGGGCCGGGTGCGGTGGCTCACGCCTGTAATCCCAGCACTTTGGGAGGCTGAGGCGGGTGGATCACGAGGTCAAGAGATCGAGACCATCCTGGTCAACATGGTGAAAGCCTGTCTCTACTAAATAATACAAAAAATTAGCTGGGCATGGTGGTGCACGCCTGTAATCTTAGCTACTCAGGAGGCTGAGGCAGGAGAATTGCCTGAACCCGGGAGGCAGAGGTTGCGGTGAGCCGAGACAGTGCCATTGCACTCCAGCCTGGGTAACAAGAGCGAAACTCCATCTCAGGGAAAAAAAAAAAAAAAAAGAAGTCAGGTGAACAGCGGATCAGGCAAAACTCGTAGCCCGGTTTGTTCAACCTTTGAAGCATGGGTTGTGCACCATGCAGTCGGCTATTGGCATGGAGAAGAATTGGGCCCCTTCTGTTGCCAGCTGCAGGCTTTGGAGTGTTCAGTGCGGCTCGTCGATCTGCCGAGCAGACTTCCCCAGTGTTCCCCTGGGATGCAGAAAGCCGTAGTGGATCAGGCCAGCAGCCCACCACGTAGTGACCATGACCTTCTTCTGGTGCAAGTTTGGCTTTGGGAAGTGCCTTGGAGCTGCTACTTGGTCCAGCCACCAAACTGGTTGTCACTAGTTGTCACGTAAAATCCATTTTTCATCGCACATCACAATTTGATCGAGAAATGGTTCGTTGTTGTTGAATAGAGTAAGAGAAGATGACACTTCAAAATGATGATATTTTTGATTTTCGCTCAGCTCATGAGGCAGAGGCACCCGGTTTCGAGCTTTTTCATCTTTTCAATTTGCTTCAAATGCTGAGCAAACATAGAATGGTCAACGTTGAGTTCTTTGGCCGCTTCTCATGTGGCTGTAAGAGGATCAGCTTCGGTGATTGCTCTGGATTGGTCATTGTCAACTTCCAGTGGCCGGGGCCACTACGCTCCTCATCTTCAAGGCTCTCATCTCCTTGGCAAAACTTCCTGACCCACCACTGCACTGTACATTAGTTAGCAGTTCCTGGGCCAAATGCATTGTCGATGTTGTGAGTTGTTGCCACTGCTTTATGGCCCATTTTGAATTTGAATAAGAAAATCACTTGAATTTGCTTTTTGTCTAACATCATTTCCATAGTCTAAAGTAATCATAAAATAAACAGCAAGGAATAAGACATTAGCAAAGAAAAAACCATAAAGCCAGAAGTGCCCATTAAAATGACATATAATATAACCACCTTTATTTAATAATGTATTCCAATATGAAACAGCAAATTCCAACAATGCAAAAACTGCAGTTACCTTTGCACTCACCTAATGTTTCTCTTATTTTGTCATTGTAATGTTTGTGCTACTCCACAGGTTTTAAAGATACCATAGGAGGTGTTTATTTTCTAAGAAATACCATAAGGTAGTGAAGGCATCAATGTGTATGGTTTTATATTTTTAGCCAGAAGTTAAAAGAGAAGAAATTACTGGCAAAGAAGATGAAACTTGAACAGAAGAAACAAAAAGAAGGTGAGTGGTGCCCACTTTTCCTGGCTGTAGCTTCTTTTCTTGGTGTCGGTCACAGTGGTTGAACTGTCAGGAAACACAGGGATGGAGGGTTTGGGTTGGCTGGCCACTGAAGAAACAGCAGCTCATTCATGTTAGCTAGGACTCATTTAATTGCAAGTATCAGAAAACCAAACTGGCTTAAGCAAAAAGATACTGGCTCAGGGTAGTTGGAGGACAGACCTCCCTTTGGGCATGGCTGGTCAGAGAGATCAGGGGCGTTGTTGGTTATTGCCGTCTCCCCCTCTGTGCTGGTGTCCTGTCCTCGGGCAGCTCACACCCCCTTGTGGTTTAGGGGCACATCCTGCCTCGATCTTGTCCCAGGAGGGAAGATTGAAAGGACGTCTCAGCTTTCCCAGCAAAAGTCTTTTTGTGTCTCTGACTCTGACTGAGTCATTTGCCAGGTCAGGTAAGGATGCTTTTGGCTGCAAGCAACAAAACGCAGCCAACAAAGTGCCTAAACCAAGAGGAGTTGGGTTTTTTATAGGATGAGAAATCTGGTGGTAGGTGGCAGCCTGAGGTGACTGCCAGTGTGGGCTGGCACCCCCACCCATCCCTTGGCCTTTACCCCAAGGCTGCAAGGTGGCTGCCATGGCTTCTGGCACAGTACCTGTGTTCAAAGCAGGAAGAAGGGGAGTGAGGTGGTACTTGCGTGATCTGCCCTTTTTAAATCGGAGAGCAAAAGTTTCTCCAGAAGTGCCCAGAAGACGTCACCTTAAATACTAGGTCACTTTGCCATCCCTAGCTGCTATCAGGCTGGAGGAATAGAAAACTGTTATAGCTGACTCGAGCCTATCGTGATCCGGCACTGCGAGCTGAGAGCATTGCTACCCTAGCCAGATTTGAGGTCTCGTTAATAAGGAAGAATCGGGGGCGGGCTTGGCTATTCGGTCAGCATCCCACCATGCTGCCAATCCTGCTACCTCTGAACCCATCACAACACTAGGGTTGCCATCCCCCATCCCTGGGAACCCATGGCTGAGGATAAAGGATGGGGTCCCCAGCTGGAAAGGGCCAAAGATGCTAAGAGACCAGAAAATGACACTGTCCCCCACATGACTGAATCTGTGGCTATTCCCTGCTTGACCAGGCCTGCTTCCTGACTACACAATTGTGGTTTTTGGTCTTAGGGTGAAGTCAGATTTTCATTGACGTATTAAAATATAATTGATCCAGGGATGGTGGCCCATACCTGTAATCCCAGCTACTTGGGAGGCTGAGGCAAGAGAATCATTTGAACCTAGGAGGCTGAGGTTGCAGTGAGCCACCACGATCGTGCCACTGCACTCCAGCCTAGGAAACAAGAGTAAAACTCCATCTCAAACAAATAGGCCAGGCATGGTGGCTCATGCCTGTAATCCTAGCACTTTGGGAGGCCAAGGCGGGTGGATCACATGAGGTCTGGAGTTCGAGACCAGCCTGGCCAACATGGTGAAACCCCATCTCCACTACAAATACAAAAACTAGCTGGGTATGGTGGCAGGTGCTTGTAATGTCAGCTACTCAGGAGGCTGAGGCAGGAGAATCACTTGAGCCTGGTAGGCAGAGGTTGCGGTGAGCCAAGGTTATGCCATTGCACTCCAGCCTGGGCATCAAGATCAAACTCTGTCTGAAATGTGTGCGTGTGTGTATGATATGATTGGCCACTTCTAGGAACCATTTCCTTATGACTTGTACTGTGTGACACATCGGACATGGTTTTAGGTTGTTTCTCGCCCTTTCCTAGAAGAAATTATTTTAAGCGACTAAAATGTGACTGATAGGACTCCATTCCTCAAAGAAAGTACTCCATCACTTTCCCTTCCGCTGCAACAGTAGATCATGGAAGTACTTGGCCCAAGTAGGAGGATTGGGCATAAAAGCTATTCTCACAATCTGTTGAGGGGGTAACGTAACTTGGACGTGTTATATTTGGAAATAGAGGTCAGGCGCAGCTGCTCACACCTATAATCCCAACACTTGGTAGGCCAAGGCAGGAGGATCACTTGAGGCCAGGAGTTCAAGACCAGCCTGGGCAGCATAGCAAGACCCCATCTCTACATACAATAAAAAATCAGCCAGGCATGGTGGTGCACACCTGTGGTCCCAGCTTTTTGGGAGGCTGGAACAGGAGGATTGCTTGAACCCAGGAGTTCAAGACTAGTCTGGGTAACATAGTGAGACCCTGTCTCTACAAAAAAATTTAAGAATTAACTAGGTGTGGTACATGCCTGTTGTCCTAGCTACTCTGGAGGCTGAGCCAGGAGAGTCATCCGAGCCCAGGAGGTCAAGGCTGCACTGAGCCATAATTGTGCCACTGTACTCCAGACTGGGCAACAGAGCAAGATTCTGTCTCAAAAAAAAAAAGGCCTCCTTTGCTGAGTAATTTGACCCTCTCTTCTCAGGATTTGTTGGTTTTGCTGCTTATCATTGTCATTGTTGCTATTTGTGTGTTTAGTGACTTCCCTGATGAATTCTGTAAAACCTGTATTCTTTGTTGTGTTTGGACTCTGAAGTCTGCTCGGTCAGCTTAGTTCGTCAGTGGAAGATGAGAGATTTCTCTGAATGTCTTGAACCTCCATGTCTTTGCCAGGGAGCTCTATGTGTGTGCTGGACTGTGCCTCCAACCCCCTGGCAGGCAGTCTGCCATTTGTTGTAGCCTTCACTTCCTGCTTGCACAGAGCCTCCAGGGCAGCAGAGGTGAGAGGTCAGGGCCTCGGCTGTCTTTCTTGGACATGTGCACTGCTCTGGTGGTCCCCTGGAGTCCCAGCTTTTTCTTTTAAGCTTTTTAGTCAATTTCTTGTTTGCGTCAGTTGTTACTGCTGTCTTGGTCGGTGGGATGTTAAATAGTTGTCACTGATGGTTTTTGACACACACCTGGGGGGAAAGAGCTGTTGACCCTGAGTGAGCTCAACTGAATGCAGAGTCAGATTAACAAAAGACAAGCTTTGCAGGTAGACGTTTCCAGGGAGCCACTAGACAGGTCAACCAGGGCCAGTGCTCTAGGGATGGAACTTCCAACAGCTCCCAGCCCAATCATCCTACTTCCGTTTTTTACAGCCACTGTAGCGGGGGTGGGAGGGCTCTTGTCTTTCAAGGCTCCCTCCGATCTGGGGACAGGGAGACAGGAAATTAAAGCCCACAGAGTTCACGCTTTTAGTGAGGTTCAGGCATTTGAATAGTCTGAGGTGCATTTCCAGAGTTCTGAAAAAGTTGATTTTTAGGATTTTTGCCAGTGTTCTGTTACCTTTATGGAGGAGCAGATTTTTGGAGGTCCTTACTTTGCCATTCATCCCTTTTTCAAATAGCACTACATTTGAAGTGTGTTTCTTGTATGTCAAATGTTTGGGTCATACTGTGTTTTTTTTTGTTGTTGTTGTTTTGTTTTTTTGAGACAGTCTCACTCTTGCCCAGGCTGGAGTGCAGTGTTGCAATCTTGGCTCACTGCAACCTCTGCCTGCCCGGTTCAAGTAGTTCTTCTGCTTCAGCCTCCTGAGTAGCTGGGATTACAGGTGCACGCCAATATGCCTGGCTAATTTTTTTTTTTTTTTTTTTTTTGTATTTTAGTAGAGATGGAGTTTCACCATGTTGGTCAGGGTGGTCTAGAACTCCTGACCTCATGATCCACCCGCCTCAGCCTCCCAAAGTGCTGGGATTACAGGCGTGAGCCACTGCGCCCAGACGGGGCACGTTTTCTAATTCATTCTGACAGCCTCTGTCTTTTTCTCGATATGTTTGGAGTCAAGGCTACCATTTTATTGTCTTTTTGTTGTCTTCATTTTTGTGTTTTTGAGACAGGGTCTCGCTCTGTCACCCAGTCTGGAGTGCAGCAGTGCAGTTGTGGCTCGTGGGAGCCTCAAACTCCCAGTGGGCTGAAGTCATCCTTCTACCTCAGCTTCTTACGTAGCCGGGACTACAGGTGTGTACCACCATGCCTGGCTAAGTTTTTATTTTTTGTAGAGATGGGGTCTCACTATGTTGCCTAGGCTGGTCTTGAATTCTTGGGCTCAAGTGATCCCCCCACCTCAGCCTCCCAACTGGTTGGAACCGCAGGCCTGTGCCACCATACTCAGGTAATTTTTGTATTTTTTTTTTTTTTTAATAAAAACCGGGTTTTTCCATGTTTTGAACTCTTAAGCTCAAGTGATCCTCCCGCCTTGGCTGCCCAGAGTGCTGGGATTTCAGGTGTGAGCCACCACGAGAGGCTGGCATGGTTTTCTTTTGACTGCTTGCTTTTTTTTTTTTTTTTTTTTGAGACAGAGTCTTGCTCTGTCACCCAGGCTGGAGTGCAGCAGTGCAATCTTGGCTCACTACAGCCTCCGCCTCCTGGGTTCAAGCAATTCTCCTGCCTCAGCCTCCTGAGTAGCTGGGATTACAGGCACCCACCACCACACACCCAACTAATTTTTAGTAGAAATGGAGTTTTGCCAGATTGGCCAGACTGGTCTCAAACTCCTGACCTCAGGTAATCCGGCTGCTCCCAAAGTGCTGGAATTACAGGTGTGAACCACCGTGCCTGACCTTAGGTCTATTTTTAATTTGTGTGTGATCACCATACTCTTCCATAGGGACTGAACCATTTTTTACTCCCACCAGTGCCAAAGGGCTACAGTTTCTCCACATACTTGCCAGCGCTTCTTATTTTCTGTTTTTGTTTGTTTTGTTTTGTTTTAGAACCATCCTAATGGGTGTGAAGTGGTACCTCACCATGGTTTTGATTTGCATTTCCCTAATGAGTTGTGATGTTGGGCATCTTTTTGTGTCCTTATTGGCCATTTTTGTAGTAGTTATTGTTGTTCTGTTTTGTTTTGTTTTTTGAGATGGAGTCTCGCTCTGTCGCCCAGGCTGAGTTCAGTGGCACTATCTTGGCTCACTGCAACCTCCACCTCCTGGGTTCAGGCGATTCTTCCAAGTAGCTGGGACTACAGGCACCTGCCACCACATTCAGCTAATTTTTTTATTTTTAGTAGAGTTGGGGGTTTACCATGTTGGCCAGGCTGGTCTCGAACTCCTGACCTCAGGTGATCTGCCTGCCTTGGCTCCACAAAGTGCTGGGATTACAGGCATGAGCCACTGCGCCCCCACCTGGCCATTTGTATATCTTCTTTCAAGAAAGGTCTGTTCAAGTCCTTTGGCCATTTTTAAATCAGGTTGTTTTTATTTTGTTGAATTTTAAGAGTTCCCTGTATTTTTTGGGTATTAATTTTTATCAGGCTGGGCACAATGGCTCACGCCTATAATCCCAGTACTTTGGGAGGCCAAGGCAGACAGAGCGCCTGAGTCCAGGAGTTCAAGACCAGCCTGGGAAACATGGCAAAACTGTTTCTACCAAAATACAAAAAAAATCAGCCAGGTATGGTGCTGCAGGCCTGTAGTCCTGCCTACTCAGGAAGCTGAGGTAGGAGGATTGTTTGAGCCTGGGAGGGAGGTTGCAGTGAGCTGAGATTGTGCCACTGCACTGCAGCCTGGGTGACAGAGTGGGAACCCATCTCAAAATAAATAAATAAATAAATAAATAAAATTTTAAAGAGTGGTTTGTATGCCATTTACCTCGCTTTCTCAGTTTCCTTCTTTATTTTTCATTTTGTGAGCCTAAGCAAGCTTTTCCAGTAGTCCTGTGGAAAGAAATGGGAACTAATGTGGTAATACCAGCTTGCGCCACATGGTGGCTTTAGTGTGCCATGGGTCCTGGATGAACTCGGAGGTGCAGATCACTAGAGCTTTTTTGGCTCTTCTCCTAAAAAGGAGAGGGCAGCTGGCTGGGCGTTCTGTTCTGCTATTGGAGAGGAGGTCTCGTCACTTGTTTTCTGTGCTGGTCCAGTAGCTCAGGGAAGACTCCCGGCAGTGTGGGACTTGTGTCTGAATGACAGCATGGGATGACATTAAGCCAGTTTGGATTATTCTGAAGCCTTCGACTCACCAGATCATTTATTCCCACACCACTGTTACTTATCCTAACATAGGCCTGCTCAGCAAAGAAGTCCAGGGTGCCCTTAGGGGATTTGTTACTAGGCACATCTGGGGCAGAGCTTCTCCATGGACGCACTGCTGATGCTTCAGGCTGGAAATGCTGTGTCGTGAAGGGCTGTGTGTTGGTCACTGCAGGATGTCTCACGGCCTCCTAGCATCTACCCACCAGAGGCCAGGAGCCCCCACCTTCCCCCAGTCATTCGCAGTTCGGGATGCCTCCCGACATTGCCATGTGTGCACTAGGCGGGAGGAGGACAGAATTGTCCCTGACTGAGAGCTCCTGACCTAGGGGCAGGTATCTCATGTCCAGAAGGCACTCTACTTGTGTTTGGATCAAACTGTTTATTTCAGAGCCAAAATCCTTAAACATAGGTTGGAAAACTATCCACATCTTTGTGTCTTTGGAGAAAAGAGATACTCTATGATGGTTTTAGAAATTTTAAAAATATGCAGAAAAGAACAACATCAAAAATAAAAGTTGGCTGGGCATGGTGGCTCTCGCCTGTAATTCCAGCACTTGGGGAAGCTGAGGCTGGAGGATCGTTTGAGGCTGGGAGTTTGAGACGAGTGTGGGCAACATAGCAAGGCCTTGTCTCTGTTTTGTAAATAAATAAATTATAGGCCGGGCGCGGTGGCTCAAGCCTGTAATCCCAGCACTTTGGGAGGCCGAGGCGGGTGGATCACGAGGTCAACAGATCGAGACCATCCTGGTCAACATGGTGAAACCCCGTCTCTACTAAAAATACAAAAATTAGCTGGGCATGGTGGCGCACGCCTGTAGTCCCAGCTACTCGGGAGGCTGAGGCAGGAGAATTGCCTGAACCCAGGAGGCGGAGGTTGCGGTGAGCCGAGATCGCGCCATTGCACTCCAGCCTGGGTAACAAGGGCGAAACTCCGTCTCAAAAAAAAAAAATAAATTAATTAAATAAATAAATAAATAAATAAATTATAAAGTTATCTGTAACCCTTACTAAAAATGACTTTAACACTTTAATATCATTTCTTATTTGAGTTTTTTAATATATGTCTTATTTCTATAAATGCCATATTTATAGATATCCTGATTTTATCATGTACCATGGTATCACAAGTATTTTACCAAGTCTATACTTACAAGGATTTTTTTCTCATCCATTCATTCATCTGTTAAAAACAAAGTGCATGCTTCAGTTGCAGTCAGTGGCATTTTACTCACTATGCCTGTAACCTGTGAAGAAAATCTCAGATTCCTGGATCTTAAAATATTAAACAAACAGTAGTATAAAAGTAATGAAAGGAGGTCCAGGTGTGGTGACTCACACCTGTAACCCCAGTACTTTAGGAGGCTGATCTGGGCAGATCACTTAAGGTCAGGAGTTTGAGACCAGCCTGGCCAACATGGTGAAACCCCGTCTCCACTAAAAATACAAAAATTAGCCAGGCGTTGTGGCGGGCACCTGTAATCCCAGCTACTCAGGAGGCTGAGGCTGGAGAATCCCTCGAACCTGGGAAGTGGAGGTTGCAGTGAGCCAAGATCACCGCACTGCAGTCCAGCCTGGGTGACAGAACGAGACTCCATCTTTGAAAAAACAGCAACAGTAGGCCGGGCGAGGTGGCTCATGCCTGTAATCCCAGCACTTTGGGAGGCCGTGGCGGGTGGATCGCCCGAGGTCAGGAGTTCGAGACTAGCCTGACCAACATAGTGAAATCCCGTCTCTACTAAAAATACAAAAAATTAGCTGGGCATGGTGGCGGGCACCTGTAATGTCAACTACTCAGGAGGCTGAGGAAGGAGAATCACTTGAACCTGGGAGGTGGAGTTTTCAGTGAGCCAAGATCGCGCCATTGCACTCCAGCCTGGGCAATAAGAGCAAGATTCCGTCCCAAACAACAGCAACAACAATAAGGCATGATTAAGTTTTAATTGTTTGTGCTGTAAGGTTCTGTGGATTTTGTCAAATGCATAGTACCATGTATCCACCACCACCGCCATATCATACAGAATAATTCCGCTGCCCTAAAAGAATTCCTTATGTTACCCCGTTCATCCTCCTCCCCATCCCCAGCCCCTGGCAACCCTGATCTGTTTACTGCGTCTGTGGTTTTGCCTTCTCCACACTGTCATAGAGTAGGAATTGTGTCGTATACAGCCTCCTCAGATTGTCTTCTTTTGCTTACCTGAATGCCTTGAAAATTCATCTGTGTCTTTGTGTGGCTTAATGCCCCATTCCTTTTATTGCCAAATAGTATCCCACCGTATAGACCACCGTTCACCCGCTGAAGGGCATCCTGGTTGCATCCCAGTTTTGGTGATTATGGATAAAGCTGCGGCAGATATTTGTGTGCTACTGTGTTTTTGTTTTTTGGTATTTTTTTGAGACGGAGTTTCGCTCTTGTTACCCAGGCTGGAGTGCAATGGCGCGATCTCGGCTCACCGCAACCTCCGCCTCCTGGGTTCAGGCAATTCTCCTGCCTCAGCCTCCTGAGTAGCTGGGATTACAGGCACGCGCCACCATACCCAGCTGATTTTTTGTAGTTTTAGTAGAGACGGGGTTTCACCATGTTGACCAGGATGGTCTCGATCTGTTGACCTCGTGATCCACCCGCCTCGGCCTCCCAAAGTGCTGGGATTACAGGCGTGAGCCACCGCGCCCGGCCCTATGTTTTTGTTTTTTGGTGTTTTTTTGAGACGGAGTCTCTGTCGCCCAGGCTGGAGTGCAGTGGGGCAATCTCAGGTCACTGCAGTCTCCGCCTCCTGGGTTCCCAGGTTCAAGCAATTCTCCTGCCTCAGCCTTCGGAGTAGCTGACATTACAGGTGCTCAACACCGCGCCTGGCTAATTTTTGTATTTTTAGTGGAGACGGGGTTTCACCATGTTGGCCAGGCTGGTCTTGAACTCCTGACCTCAAGTGATCACCCACCTTGGCCTCACAAAGTATTGGGATTACAGGCGTGAGCCACTGCGCCCGGCTTTGTATGCTCGTTTCATATCAACAGAGTACATCCGTAGGAGCATGGTTGCTGGGTTGTATGATAGGATTAATCTTGTTAGCTTTGTGAGAAACTGCCAAACTGTCTTGCAAAGTGGCTATTCCATGCTGTACTCCCACCAGCAGTGAAAGTTTTTCTTACCTCACATCCTTGTAGCACTTAGTATTGTCCATTTTTTGAATTACAGCTATCCTAATATATGTGTTGTGCTTTTTTTTGTTTTTTAGTTTCGTTTTTCTTTCACAGGCTGGAGTGCAATGGCACAATCTCTGCTCACTGCAACCACTGCCCTGAGTTCAAGCGATTCTCCTGCCTCAGCCTCTAGAGTAGCTGGGATTACAGATGCCTGCCACCACGCTTGGCTAATTTTTTCTATTTTTAGTAGAGATCAGGATTTCTCTATGTTGGTTAGGCTGATCTCAAACTCCTGACCTCAGGTGATCCTCCCAAAATGCTGGGATTACAGGCATGAGCCACTGTACCTGGCCTTGTGCTCTTTGTTTTAATTTATGACAGTATTTTTTAAATTCTTGTATCACCAACATTAAGCATAGTAACTAACAAGAAATAGCCACTTTATGATTTCTTACTCTTTATGTATTTGTTATGTTGAAAGAATGAACTGGGTTAATTTTGTTGAATTGCTAAATGACTTGAATGTGCACCCGATTTCTAGGCTTCTCCTCCCCGAGAGTGATACTTTTAGACCCTGGCAGTGGGCCTTCCACACACACAAAATCCCTTGTGTTGACCATTAGTGAGGTACTGGTTGAGCATCCCAAGCCTGAAAATCCAAACGTGGAAATGCTGCAGAATTCAGAGCTTTTTGGGCAGTGAGATGAGGCTCCAAGTGGGAATTCTAAACCTGACCTCATGCAACAGGTCACGGTCGAAATGCAGATACACAACAGATTATCCAGTGTCTCCCAGGGATAGAAGACCCTCCCAGCCCCCTTCAGCTGCGGTACAACCTTTTCACATACACCCAGAATCCCCCCCCCCACAAGCACACCCACAGAGGATAAGAAAACGGCTCCTCTGCAGACCACACGCGCCAGTGGCAGGTTCCCCATAGTGCCCCACACGGGGCCCAGACCTACATGCGTTACTCAGTGCTTTTTTTGCTTGTTTTCTGTTTTGTGGTATATTGTTAAAAACAGGCACGTTGAATGAAGAAACCCTCCCCCCCCCTAAACAGGCTTCGTGTGAGCAACATGGCTGTTTATTCACCTGGGTGCAGGTGGGCTAAGGCCGAAGGGCGGCGGGATAGGAGTTGGTTTTATAGATTCGGGAAATCTTTTGGGGAGGAGGCAGGGGTGTTACGGAGTATGCATTACAACCAGGTTAGTTACAGTCGCAGGTGGGTAAGGCATAAGAGTAGTTAAGATGGTAGGTGGGATGAGGAGTATTCACATTATCATAAGAACAGTTAAGAAGGGCCGGACGCGGTGGCTCACGCCTGTAATCCCAGCACTTTGGGAGGCCGAGGCTGGTGGATCACTAGGTCAAGAGATCGAGACCATCCTGGTCAACATGGTGAAACCCCGTCTCTACTAAAAATGCAAAAATTAGCTGGGCATGGTGGTGTGTGCCTGTAATCCCAGCTACTCAGGAGGCTGAGGCAGGAGAATTGCCTGAACCCAGGAGGCGGAGGTTGCGGTGAGCTGAGATCGCGCCATTGCACTCCAGCCTGGCTAACAAGAGCGAAACTCCGTCTCAAAAAAAAAAAAAAAAAAAAAAAAAAGAACAGTTAAGAGGCAGGATGGGGTTGGAAATGGTGATCAGAGATGATGGCCAACACAGGTGGGGGTGAGGGGTTGGGGGTTGGGGGTTGGGGGTGATCCGCGGAGGCAGGCAGGACGTCAGACTTTCTGGGTCCAGGCTTGCACGTGGAGGCCTGACATACAGTATTGAAAACTCAAAAAGGCTGCAGATTCCCCTGTGGGTAACAGTGATAGGAAAAAGAGGAAGCATTTATGTGTATCTATAGCCCAGAAAGCCAAGAATGACTGCCACACACACCTGAAGAAGCAGAAGGATGAACGATCGAAATGCCAAAAGCAGTGAACAGAAGTTGATGAAGAATTGAAAAATTAGGCCGGGGGTGGTGGCTCCTGCCTGTAATCCCAGCACTTTGGGAGGCCAGGGAGGGAGGATCACTTGAGCCCAGGAGTTTGAAACCAGCCTGGGAAACATGGCTGAGACCTCCTCTCTACAAAAAATACAAAAATTAGCCAGGTGTTGTGGCACACACCCATAGTCTCAGCTACTCAGGAGGCTACAGTGAGCTGTGACCACACCACTGCACTCCAGCCTGGGTAACAGAGCGAGACCCTGTCTCAGAAACAACAGCAACAAAAAAGAATAAAATACAGTATCCAGGCCAGGTGGGGTGGCTCATGCCTGTAATCCCAGCACTTTGGGAGGCCAAGGCATGTTGAGAACCACCCAACTCTGCCTGGGTGCCCCTCGTGGCAGTGACGAGGGAGTGAGAAAAGGAAATAAAGACACAAGAGTGGGAGTTCACAGCATGGGTTCAAGCGGGGTGATCCGCTCTGGTTTCGAGGTTTTTATGAGGTGTATACACTTGTTAAATGAGGGGTGGGGGAGCAGGGAGGGATGATCAGGGGAGGCCTTGAAACTAATGTGGTCAGGATAGCCAAGGGGGAGGTGTGGTCTGCAGTATTCAGTGGTGACTCTTACGCAAACCTACAACACTGAGTTCTACCACCGGTTGCTGCCAAGGTACATTTGCATGAGAAGCACAGCGGCTAAGGCTCCACGGAGTTTGACCACACCCAGTGCATCAGGGGTCTTTTATCTCCCAGCTTTGAGGACACAGCAATCAAGATTGCTCCATATTCTGAGAACCTAGGCAGCAGAGCCCATGGTGTTCCGGTGATCTCTGCCCTGCAAGGCTTTTCCTCCTTGCCAGCTCCCATCTGCAAAGACCCTCCTCAATCTTGTGAGCAGAGGTCACCTCCCTTCTCAGAGATCTTATGCAAGTCCTCTCTACCAGACCCTCACGCGACCTTCATGTTGAGTAGGCATTTGGGGGACCAAAGCGATATTTCCTGCTCTGCAACCACCCTGTGGGTTTCCACGGTTTCACAGTGCTCTCAGATGGTCTTTACCTTAGGCCTCTTGTTGCTGCTTGATTTTTATTTTATTGCACCAATATTTGATATAGCTTAGTTCAAGGTATAAACTATAGTGTACAATAAGCAATGCAAGCTTATAACTATTTAACTAGAAATAACATAGGTCTGCCCCTGGCTATTTTGACCCACAGAGGCGAGTGGATCACCAGAGGTCAGGAGTTCGAGACCAGCCTGGACAACATGGTGAAACCCCAGCTCTACTAAAAATTAGCCGGGCGTGGTGGTGGGTGCCTGTAATCCCAGCTACCCGGGAGGCTGAGGCAGGAGAATTACTTGAGCCCGGGAGGCGGAGATTGCAGTGAGCCAAGATTGCACCACTGTATTCCAGCCTGGTGACAGAGTGAGACTGTCTCAAAAAAAAGAAAATGACAGTGTCCAGTAACCTTTGATCCGGACACAGCATTGTTGGCGGGGATTGAAAGCCCATTGTTACCATTTAGCCGCTGATCCAGGTGTTCCTGGGATGCGACTGCTGCTTAATTACTCTGATCATACTATTTTCCACTCTATGAATGTCCTGTCGTTTTTATGACTGTTAAGCACTCTGTGAATAAGTACACGAAAAGAATTGCTTATAAGTAGCAAATAAATTCAGAGTCAGAAATGATGGTGATGCCAAACCACAGATCAGCCACGTGGGGGAGAGACTCCTTTGCTTTCTTTTGGTTCGTCATACACAACTGTTTCATATACAAAAATATTATAATTTGAGACGGAGTCTTGCTCTATCGCCCAGGCTGGAGTGCAGTGGCACAATCTCGGCTCGCTGCAACCTCTGCCTCCCGGGTTCAGGGGATTCTCCTGCCGAAGTTTCCCGATTAGCTGGACTTCAGGCACGTGCCACCACACCTGACTAATTTTTGTATGTTTGTAGAGACGGGGTTTTGCCATGTTGGCCAGGCTGATCTCAAACTGATCAGCCCTTTTTTTTTTTTTTTGGAGACAAAGTCTTGCTCTGTCACCCAGGCTGGAGCGCAATGGTGCAACCTCAGCTCATTGCAACCTCTGCCTCCCAGGTTCAAGTGATTCTCCTCAAGTTATCTGCCTGCCTTGGCCTCCCAAAGTGCTAGGATTACAGGCGTGAGCCACTGTACCCAGCCACAAAATTATCATTATTTTGATTAATAGATGATTTATTTAGGCAGGAATACATATAGTCATCTTTCCAGACTTAATATGAGAGGTTAAATGTTCGATCCAGTTTTCCTTCCCGGCTAAGTGTTTCTTTCCTATCTCTGTCACTTTTGAAAACACAATTCCAGGCCGGGTGCGGTGGCTCACGCCTATAATCCCAGCACTTTGGGAGGCCGAGGTGGGTGGATCACGAGGTCAAGAGATCGAGACCATCCTGGTCAACATGGTGAAACCCCATCTCTACTAAAACTACAAAAAATTAGCTGGGCATGGTGGCACGTGCC